ATTTATGACTATTGCATCAATGGATTTTTTTTAACCACCAGATAATTTTTTTCAAAACTTATTGTTACACTGATATCTTTTTTTTTTTATTAAAAAGATGACTGGTGAGGGCATCTTAACCCTTGACTTGATGTTGTCAGCACCACGCTCACCCAGTGAGCAAACCGGCCATCCCTATATGGGATCCGAACCCGTGGCCTCGGTGTTATCAGCACCACACTCTCCCAAGTGAGCCACGGGCCGGCCCTTACACTGATATCTTGTACATAATTTTCAAAATGCACATTACAAATAATCACTAATAATCACTTTCTCACCAGATATAAAAACTTAATTTTGGCTTTCTTGCATTCAATTTAATTGATCATCCCCTCCTTTTTGAAAGTTATATAACTTCCAAAATAGTACACTATCTTGATTATATGTCCTACCACTTTATACACCGATCCTTCTTCCTACCATGGGTTTTAAGTTAGGTATACTCTGTGTTCAGTAGCTACTCTCTTTTCCTATGAGAGTTGGGCCACTTCAATACCTTCAACTTTTATTTCAATCACCAGGCCATATTATTTCCTCTATGACTAACTATCCACTGAATATTTTCACTTAATCTACCACCACCTCAAAAAAGCCTTCATAATCCTTCCTTCTCCTTCCCCAAATTGGGACCTATACATCCACCCAAGGGACAAAACTTGAAGCAAATTCTGGCCCTTTCTTATTTATTAGAGAACTATGTACTGCACTTACTATTTGGCTTGATATTTTTAGTTGATACTGCTGTATGTATAACATTTGAGACCTGTATGTATAACATTTCTGGGGATGTCTTCTAATAGGGTAAGAAGAATGTCTTCTAATAGGGTAAAAAGAGAACCAAGGCAGAAGAGGATGAGACAGCAAGTAGTTTTTATTATTTGGGCACTGAAATCACATGCCTGTTCACTGCCTAACTTGTCCTTGGTTGCTATCTCTTCTGGTTGTGGCCTACTTCACTTGGCATGCAAACTACCATTCTATTATGCCTTCTTTATAACTGTACTAAATTAATTTCCACAATTATATTTCACTCCCATAACAATAAAACAGCAGGTAGTTTCCAACTTTCAAAAATCAGATTTAAAACAATCCATACGTGAACTACTTTGCAGTCCCTTTTTACTACTCTTATAGTTCCTATTATCACTCACTAAGCAGCTATTATAGAATAACTTTTGCAGACTCCAAGGACAGGAGTAAAAGAATGAAAAACAACAAGAAGAAACATGTTTCTAGGAAGGTGAAGGGCTACAGCTGTTATTCACATATTACTATACCTTATTTAGCTTCCATTTCTGGAATATCTATCACGCATGACAATAGGCATTTAAATGTGTAATCTAATTTAATTCTCAAAGAAGATAACCTGTGCTGCAAATATGTTGAACACTGTTAGGCCCAGCTATGGATTATCTTTTTTTTTTTTTTTGGGTAGCTGGCCAGTATTGGGATCTGAACCTCGACCTTGGTGTTATAACTCCACACTCTAACCAACTGAGCTAACCAGCCAGCTTCTGTGCCACAAATATGCTTTAAACAAATGGCACTTTGTCCTCTATTGCCGTATACTTATATGAAGGAACATTACAAAAAGAGCCTCATGAAACTTGTTGCAATATTTACTATAAGGACACTGTCAAATATTTTTATTTTGCTATATATCTATGAGGATCTACCATAAACAAAAATCTTAGTATCAGATATATCTGGCTTTACCTGAACAAATTCTTTCAAATTATTAGTGTTATTAAAAAATATATATACATACATAAGTGGTGGGACAAATAAAAGCTATGGGAGACATAATTTCTGTCATTTATATTCAAGGTAATAGAAATAATGGGCCGAGCCCGTGGCGCACTCGGGAGAGTGCGGCGCTGGGAGTGCAGCGGCGCTCCCGCCGCGGGTTTGGATCCTATATGGGAATGGCCGGTGCGCTCACTGGCTGAGCATGGTGTGGGCAACACCACACCAAGGGTTGCGGTCCCCTTACCGGTCACGAAAAAAGAAGAAAAAAAAAAAAAAGAAATAAACTTAATGTTGTAAAAAAAAAAAGTAAAAATAGGAATATATATATTTAACTATATGCTGAAATTAACTAGATTTGTCAGGTATAATCTTACTTGGCCAAAAGAGNATATCTGGCTTTACCTGAACAAATTCTTTCAAATTATTAGTGTTATTAAAAAATATATATATATACATAAGTGGTGGGACAAATAAAAGCTATGGGAGACATAATTTCTGTCATTTATATTCAAGGTAATAGAAATAATGGGCTGAGCCCGTGGCGCACTTGGGAGAGTGCGGCGCTGGGAGTGCAGCGGCGCTCCCGCCGCCGGTGCGCTCACTGGCTGAGCATGGTGTGGGCAACACCACACCAAGGGTTGCGATCCCCTTACCGGTCACGAAAAAAGAAGAAAAAAAAAGAAATAAACTTAATGTTGTAAAAAAAAAAAAAAAGTAAAAATAGGAATATATGTATTTAACTATATGCTGAAATTAACTAGATTTGTCAGGTATAATCTTACTTGGCCAAAAGAGCTTTGTGTTTCAATATAACCAGGAGATTATGACAATGATCATTCTTTTACATTTAGATCAACAACTCTAAGGCAAAAGCAATTATATAAAGTTAGAGTCTGTCTGAAATTATCTTTAACAGATTGGAATTTTAAACAAGTTGCTTAAATCAATACCAAAACTCTATCTTTCAAGGAAAATACCTTTTTTGAAGGGGCTCCGGTGGATGGCACGTCAATTACAGAAGGTGTATTAGTGTAGTTTTGTAAATAGGATCCATCTCCAGGACTTGGGGTTTCTAATGGCAAAATCCCAAAACTGAGAAGAGGTTGAAATCAAGGTGTCAAAAAGTCATCAAGGCATATATAAAGCAGCAGTATACTTAAATTAGAAGGTCTAAAAGGAAGAGAATGGCAAATCAGTCTTGGGGGCAATGAGGATCTGAGGGGCAGATTAAAAATAAGCTGTGAATGTAGACTATTCTACCCACAATAACTAAAATATAAAAAAAAAAACAAAAAACAAGGAACTAAAATTGAGTGACAACTACTGATCTCAGGAGAGTAGAAATAAAGAGTGGCTTTATAAAAGCTAAAATCCAAATGATCGAATTACTTCAAATTACTGGAATTTATGGGATTTGACATAATTACAGAGGAAATGTCTCTAGAGTTGTAATCTCATGGTCATGCTATTTTAGTCGCTCCCTTGCCCCAGGACCCCATTCATAGAGTGTTCCAGCATATAATTTTTTATTTTGATACATTTGCATATGTATCCTCTGGACTGGGTTCCTATATTTATATATACATATACTCTTAATAATTTTGACAAAATATTTCATATTGATAGATGTCAATATTTCCTCCATGTGTTGGAAAACAGCACATAGTAATCAGTGTTGTTCTAATTATCTTAAGCATATCAACATTTCAAGGGGTTCAGTGTTATACATGCACACACAACCATAAAGACAGTATCTTTTCAGGCATACACTAGCTACTTAAGGCATCTGCAAAAGTTTTAAAAATTTCTCCAATCTTTAGTATTAAATTTTTATCACATGTGCTATATTTCTTTTGCTTCATTTTATGAAAACAGAATGCCCCATTCCCATAGTGAGTAAGGAAATAGCTGTTCATACTAATTTATGTTATTAATAATACTATATTATATATTATATGAGGGGTCTTCAAAAAGTTCACAGAAAGGTTCATATTATCTTTTAATTCTTGTTTTTCCGTGAACTTTCTGAAGTACCCCTGGATATTATAATTATTGTATTATGTATTATATAATTGTTATATTATATATTAATAAAATTAATAATATTTATATTATTAAAAATATAACAATTATTATTATAAGATTATTTAGTATTATACCACATTTTAAAGTATCTTTTGCTCAACTTACCTTGGTGTTAATGGGCTAAGAGCAGTTGGTCCTCCTAGTAAACTTCGACCAGTTTTTGGTTTATTTTGAACCTGTTTAGATAATATGGAAGTTCCTGTTCCAAGAGGGACAGTATCTGGTGAAATTACAGCTGAATCAATGTAAGACACTGAGGAATCTATATTCAAGGAGTACTTTGAATTGGAAGATTCTAAATTCAGTCTGTTCAATTCCTGAAACAGAAAATTTCTACCATGTGATTTACGATACATTTAGCTCAGATCATTCTTTTTAGTTTTTATAATATTTTAAACACTAGAATATGATACACTTACAATTGTGTCCTGGGGTGTTTCCGTAAGAACTGTCTCAGGCTGTCTGTGAGATAAACTATGATTAGATACTAGTGTTGTGCAAGAGTTGGGCAGACAGTTGCTAAAGTTTTGTAAAGATGTTAATTTAAATGTTTGGTCAGGATCTGGCTTTTCACCTATGAAGACAAAAAAAAAAAAAAAAAAAAAGATATTTGCCTCTGAGGAAATGAAGGATAAATTTTTTCTCAAGTATGCGTAAACCAGTGGAAATAAGCCTTATCCAGAGTTTTTAAACTCTCCTGTCCATTTCTGCTAATCAAATTTACCTGCCAAAAGTCCATCTACCAACTGGTAATAAAGTCTACCCCTAAGATAAAGCTGCAAATTTAGGAAATAAACTAAACTGCAAGGACACTAACTTTAAACATAATAAATCAGGAAAATGCAGATTTCTGTGTTTGTTTTAAAGCAGAAAGCAACTATATCTCTTTTTTCTCAAGGTTGGGGGTGAGATTGGAAAATTGAAAACCAGTAGATACTACAGTAAAGGCTGAAGCACTTTCGTGTATATAGAAAACAACAATGTTTCGAAATGGTCCCTTATGTATCCTAGAGCATATACACTGAGACACACTCTATTGTCCAGGTCTTATTCCTATAATAGTTTCTGCTTTAGGCATTTTATTAATTTCTTTAGAAACTGTATTAATTACTTATCCAGAAAGCAATTTTGGCTACTGTTATACACACAATACAACCCTTTCTAGAGAACACAAGATATTTAAGGTAGATTGGCTAAACAGAAGAGACTACTGAATTTAATCTTTTGGATAGAGTAATGAAAGGTCACATTATTACTGAAACATATGATTCTAACTTATTTCATATTCTCAATTTTAACAGTCCTAGCTTTGCACTATATTTTTCTTGTGGATAGATGGTTTATATTGCTCTCCAAAAATCAAGCAGGGGAAAAAAAAAGAAGAGAAAATGGGGAACCCTCCTCCTGCCATCTCCACAAACCTACCTATTTCACATAATGATTCAAAGGGAGACCAGAGGAAAGGATTTAAACTAAGGCTCTTTTGGTAACATTCTGATCCTTTGGCAAGACGATCTGTTTTGCTGTGGAGAGAAACAAACAGATTGAACAAGCTATAAACTCTAAAACATTTATTATAAAGAAATTTTTGGTATAGAAAATTAGGTAAATCTTATATAAGTTCTGAAAGCACTCTTGATGCTTGTCTAAATTATCAATTTCTCATTCTTACCATCTTCTAATCTATATTATTTAGAACAGTTCAAATCAAAAGTTAGGTGAAAGCAGATAGAACATGAACTGAAAGAAATGCTAACAAAATAAACTACCATTGCCTTCTTGAATATTATCATTACTTTTAATTTCCTGTCAGATACTAGATTTACCGAGGGAGCTATGAAAAACATCCAAACACTTCAGTCTTATTCTTAATTTTCAATATAACATCCTAATGGTAATTTTGAAAGTGACTTCAATGCTTTAAACATAGCATGATTAAATAATTAGATTTTTTAACAAGGTAGAGGTGGTAGCTCTTAATGAAAATGAAAATTTATGTTTCTTTATAAACCAAGTGTAGACAATGGCTTGTATTTGGAATCTGGACAATATCCCTGGGAACATATATACTTGAAATGATCTGGGAACTATCAAAACAGCACTGCTGCCTCCCTGGCTTTGAAACAGATGGGGGAAGGGGTTAATGGTTAGTAAGACTCATGGGCACTGTCAGGTAAAAAAAAATACAAATCACCTCATCTGAGATTCAAATGCTTCGATATCAAATGGCAAAAAATTAAAACATATTCTTCCAGAATCCAAAGGTTTTATAAAGCATTAGATGGCATGTAACCAGGATTTTCAAAGGAACACTAG